ACGAAGCTGGAAGCGGGAGCGGGAGCGGGGAAGCGGGTCATGTTAATAGAAGTCGTAATTTGGAGCGCTTATTATTATTTTTATTGAAATATTTTAATTTATCTATATAAACATTTAATTTTTTTTTAATTAACATATTATGTCTAGAAAATTTTATTTTATGTAATATTTAATTAACATTAAATAACATAAAAAATATTTTTAAAAATAAAATAACAAATAAAAGTAGTGAAGTGATATTTTTTAGAACATCTAGTTCATTTATCTATTGAATAAATTTATTATATTTTATTTTATAAAAACATTTATGTTTTATTATAATATATTTTTTATTTTTTATTTATATATTTATTTTCTATTGATAATATTTTTTAAATATATATAATATTTTCAAAAAATATATATAAATATATTGTGAGATATAATTTTTTTTTTTCTCCAATTAATATTTGAAATTATATTTATAACTATCATAACTTGTTATAAATATATTTATTTGTTGTTATTAGATTTTACTTAGAATTAAAATCTATTTTATTTTGATATATAAAAATTTACATTAACTTAATATATATAAACCCATTCATTATTATTTATATTTTATAAAGTAAAATAAATAAATAGAAATATATGAGAATAATTATAAATACATTTAATATTTATATTAATCAAGAAAGAGAGAAAAGAGACTCAGCCGAATCAAAAAAAAAAAAAAAAAAATAAAAATTAAAAAAAAAACAAAAGAAAGAGAGAAGAGAGACTCAAACAGAGGCGAGAGAGGAGAGAGAGAGAAGAGGAGGAGGCGATCGAGAGAGAAGAAAAGTAGATCGAGAGACGAGACGAGATCGATCGACGGAGAGAGGAGACGAGATCGACCGATCTAGAGAAGACGAGTCATGAGATTGAGAGAAGAGGGACAAACAGATCGAGAGGAAGAGAAGAAGACAGATCCCGACCAGATTCGCGTTTCTCTAGCATCAAACTCGCGATTCTTCTACGAATCTAAGTCAGAAGCGCAGAATCGCGCTTTTGAGGAAGAATCGTGAGCAAGTTGAACGATTCCTACTACTAAGGGCGTGACTAAGCGCTCGCCTAAGCGAGAAGCGAGGCGAGGCGAGGCGACCCTACAGCGCTTCATCTCCACTGAGGCAAGGCGAAATGGTGAAGCGAGGTCGAAGCGTATAAAGCGAGGCTTAGGCGTCGAAGCGAGAGGCGATTAGAAGTGTCGCTTCACCAGTTTTGGTTTGCTTTCGGTTCGAAAGATCTGGGCCCTTGATTTGAATGACTTTTGTGCTATTTGTGGACATGCGTTGCACTTTATAATAGCTTTCCGACATCGTTCCAGTCAAAGGTGAGTACTTGCTTCTTCTTCCTTTCTTCTCTTCTCTACCCCTGCTGCTTCTTCCTTTCGTCTTCCCTAGTTCCAGTCGAAAGAGAAAGACCTCACTGATTACTTGATTGCTTTATACTTTCTTCTTTTTCTTTTTTTTTTCTTTTCCCCCTCTTCTTCTTTTTCGTCTTCGCTGGTTCTTTCGTCTGCTCCTGAAACCCACCCACCTCCCTTTTTTTTTTTTTTTTCCTTTTCCCTCTTCGTCTTTTTCGGCAGACCCCCCCTCCCTTTTTTTTCTTGGTTCTTGTTTTGTTTCTCTTGTTATTAATTTTGCTGAAAAATTTTTCAATTAATTTTACTAAATTGATTTTACAATTGTTTAATTATTTTGCTGTGCCTGTGTTATTTTACAATTATTTTGCTATGTTAATTGTATAATTAATTTGCTGAAACACTATTTAAATCAGTTATTTTGCTGAAAAAATTTCAATTAATTTGCTGAAAAAATTGTTTAAATCAGTTAATTATTTTGAAAAAAAATCACTATTTAAATCAGTTAAGTATTTTGCTATTTAATTATTTTTCTTTGCATTTCAATTAATTTTACTATTTTTCCATTATTTTGCTGTGTTAACTGTTTAATTATTGTTTTGTTGGATATTTTCTTTTATTTATGGATATTTAGTATTTGGAATGATAACTGCATGATGGTTCTTGAAAATATTTATATTTTTGTCTATACCATTTATTTTAAAAAAATATCCTTTCTGGTCGCCTCAATTCAATGAAGCCCTCGCCTCGCCTCGCCTCATCGCCTCGCGTTTAGGCGTTAGGAGACCTTGTCGCCTCAGTTTGCTTTTCGCCTTAAAAAACACTGTCACGAACACTGAGTTTGAAGCCTAGACATGTTGATCTGCCTTTGGATTTAATTGCGACCTATGATCAAGTTATGCGATGAAATCAGATTCAATTCGATTCGAAGCCCTGGGTTGTCGATCAGATTCAAATTTTGTTCTGGATCTCACACCTAGTAAGGGTAATTCGATCAATCTCTCATTTCTTGGGTTGTTTTGGATTGTGGTCCTCTGTGTTCTTGAATTGTTGCATTGTTTTGGATTGTCTCATTATTGTTCTTGAACTGTTTTGGGCTGTCCCATTATTGTTCTTGAGTTGTTTGGTCAAATTGGGTTGTGTTATTGTGACTTTGCATATTTGGGGGTAACTTAATGGCTCAACGAGGTCGTGGTAGGACTTATGTCCCAGATTTTGGTGATGATGCCAAAGATAATGGGGTTTCATATCAAAGAGATGAGATGGTTGAGATGAGACGGCAAATTGCCGCTTTAACTGAGATAGTGCAACGTCTCCTACCTCTTATTGAAGGTAGTAATGGTTCCAAGGATCGTCACTTTGATGATTCCTTCGATGCTCCGCATAGGCGTAGAGGACATTCATGTGTGTTTGATTTTAAATTGAATGACCCCATAATTGATTTAGAGTTTCCCGAATTCTGTGGAAGCTACAATCTGGATGTGTTCAAGGAATGGTTGAAGACAATTGAGAATCATTTGGAGTGTTATGATGTGTTGGAAGCAAGGAAAGTGAAATTGGTCTCTCAAAGCCTCAAAGATTGTGCCTCCGATTGGTGGTAACAATTACAAGTTGGTAGGCAAAGAAATGGCCAAGAAAAGGTTAGAGAGTGGAGAAAGATGAGAAAGAAGCTCAAGGAGCACTTCTTGCCTTCTAGTCACGTGGCACCTTTGTTGGTTGAGAAGCACCAAAAGAAGGGCATTTCAAATTTTGGACATCAATACCGAAGAGGCTTGGCAATTGGACAACCATCCTATGACTATGTCCAAGTTGGTTACTCAACTAGCGTGGGAATGAAAGAGACTTTCAATGAAAGACATCATCATAAGATGCTCTTTAGTGACAAGGTGATTCAACCAAGTTATGATGACGAAGATGTGGAAAAAAGTAGTGATCATGAGCAAGATTATGATCTGGATGTTCCTATCTTTGATGTTGGAGCTTCCATCTTTAGTGGAGAAGATTATGATCAAACACAAGGTTGTGATGAAGATGTTCCTATCTTTGATGCGGAACAAGGATATGATGAAAATGTTTCTATCTTTGATGAACCAATGAGTGGGGCGTTCGATTATGATGAAGTTAATGTTCATGAATATGAAAAGAAAGTTGATGTTTGTGCATATGGAGGAGTTCCAATCTTTGACCACTATGATGATGAGGATGACCTTGTAGAGAGCGAAGGTGTACTTGAAGATGAAGAAAGTTTTGTAGATGAAGCAAGTTTTGCTCTCACATTGCTTCCCATGAAGGAAGTGGTTGCAATTCATCTTATTCCTTTTCTAGGTTCCAAGAAAATTATGGCGGAGAGTTATGACATTGAAGTTTCATGGGTGTTGAATGATCTTTGCTTCCGAGAAATGCTTCTTATGCTATCTTCAAAGTCGTTTGTTTCACTTTGTGTTGATTTGCTGCCAGCCCGGCTTCGTGGAGGAAGGATGCGTTTATTTTGGGCCCATGCGAGAAGCGCTATTTTGATGACATCTTGCTTCCTAAACGGCATGCTACATGGGTGGTCTATTCACACCTCAACATGGCTTCGGTTGATGCCCATAAACGAGAACTCATTTTGATAGAAGGATATTTGCTAGGATGATCTTGAATAAGAACTTGCGACTACTTAGTCTTGTTCACCGTTGCATGTCCATCATTCTTCCATAAGTCATTGTTTTGAGTCATTTTGTTGATTTTGTTGTCTTGAGTCATTTTGTTGTAATCCCAACTTGAGGACAAGTTGTTTTCTTTAGAGGGGAAGTCTGATGTAGTTGGAACTAGTATGGTTGTTATGTTTAGCACCATAAGAGTTAGTTAGAGTTAGTTGGAGTTAGTTGGGTCTTTATCTTATAAATAAGTGGTTAGGCCCCTCTAGTATGGGAGTTCTATGATATTTTGATATTGAATTTTTTAGAGTTTGAGAGCTCTTGTACCCATTTTGGGATTTTCTCTATCTAATGAAATCTCTTTCTTGATTGGCTTCATCAGAATGCTAACCATCACTGGTACTATTGTCATTGTTCGTAATAATGAGGATCCAAATTAAAATTCTGTTTTCGCTCTATGTCCCTTGTCTGAACAATATACTTAACTTACGGGGCTTGAAAATTAAAATCCTCTTTTTGCTTTATTCGGAAATCTAGTTATACCTTTGATGGTATAACTAGATTAAAATTAAAATGCTGTTTTTGCTCTGTGTCCCTTGTCTGAACAATATACTTAACTTATGGGGCGTGAAAATTAAAATTCTCTTTTTGCTTTATTCAGAAAATCTAGTTATACCTTTAAGGGGCTTGAAAAAGTATGAGGCATTTCCCCCCCTTTTTTTTCCAATTGTATATGGGTTGTGCCTGCTCCATATGTACTCCAATACAATTTTATTTTGTTGCTGATTAAAAAAACGAAAGTATGAGGTGTTATTAAATATATAAATATTTTACATAGATATTTGAAATTTGCACAAGCTGGTTTGTATTTATCTGCAGCGTGTAGCTTTACTTTTAAGCATTTTTAATTATTGCAGACTAATTGCCATTGAATTTATGTGAGTTAATTACAAAGATAGATGATATTATGTTTACATCAGGCAGATTGGAAGGCCTTGCGTGGTGCAATTGTTGGTTGTTTGGCACTATTGAAGAGGAAAAGTAATGTTGGCATGGTTACTGTTAATGAAGCAAGAGCAGTTGTCCAGTCCTATCTACAAAACTTACAGGTGCAATCCTTGGGACAGCATGATAGGAAGGTATAACTATCATCTTGCCGAGTGTTATACTGGCTTTTTTATTAACTTCATTGCTAACACCTACCAGAATGAGTCTGAATGTAACTATCTTGACATTCAGAACAAATAAAGGGGAGAGAGTGAGAGAGCTACTATGACTATGTCTTATGGACCTTTGCCATTCAACTTTATTATCTAAATGTTCTTGCAGATCTGCTTTGAACTTCTGGAGTGCATATTAGATTGCTACCCTGATGCAGTTGTGGCACTGGTATTGTTCTCAATCCTGTCTTGTCCCTGCGTTTTGGTTTTTGTAGTGAATGATCTTAGTTGTCTTTGTATAGCGTGGCTATAGGTTTGGTCTGTTGTCTTCTAATATTTTTCCTTAGTTAAAAGGTCAACACTGGGAAAATTATCAGTACTATCTGAATTTTGTGTAGTTTCTCCTTTATTGTGGTTTATTGCTACGGTGATCTTCTTTCCGTTTTCATGTTGTTGTGACTTTTTAACATGACTGCTTGACTTGGTCCCATCACTATGGTGTTTAGTAAGGGGGACTTGATACAAATCAGTGTGATATAGAACCAGAGGGTTAAGGACAACAAATATAAGTACTGAGGCTGGAGTTGATTTAAGAAGGATTGGGTTTACCAAAGTAGACTTCTGTATGGATGAAATAATGGTTATTTAAATTTTGGTTATCTTGAGTGCAAAAAGAAATAAAGAGAGAAGGAGAAGAGAATATTCTAGGAATCACTTGTACAATCTTGCAGGCTTCACAAATGGGGTTAGTGTTGCATCACTGTCCTACAGAGAGGCATCAAAATTTTAAAATTTTCTCTATTGATCTCTATTGAATTTGAAAGGTTATATTGATATACGTATAAGCTGCAAGAAATCTCTACTCCAAGTAGGACTTTGATTCTGTAATTAGAAATGTGTGACTCTTTACTTACAAAAAATATTTAAAGGAGCTATGAATGATGCGTAAATAGCCAATACTATAGCATGACTTGTGCTATGGTTCATGGATGACCAGCATCAAGCTTTTCTCAGCTGCCAAGCTAGACACCTCTATATAAATAATGAATATTGGCTTGTTTTGAAGCAGCAAATGAAGATATCTGTTGAAGCCTGTTACTGTTACTGTTGCTGTCAGTTTGAATGACTATGAACCCATATGTGATTGCCTTGGCTTTCCTCCCTCTTCTGTTCTTTTTCCTTTATGATGTGATTCTCTTAACTGATATATTTTATTAAGTTCTTAACCATCAAGTTTTGCCAAACCTATTTATTTAAGCCTTATCAAACTTTGAAAGAAGATGGGCCTCAAAATGAAAGACCCTATATTTCTCAAAGCCCTTTTCCAGCTCAACACGTGAGCTTTTGCCATGGTGCTAAAAGTGAACATTTGGTGCAGCAAAAACAAAACAAATAAGAAAAGGGTAAAGCTGTCATTTGAACTATTCTATCACTTAAATATATATGTATACATATAAATATTTTTTTTGAACCAAAAAAAAAATAAAAATAAAAAATAAAATTGAAGATGGTTTCAATTCTACAACCAGAATCCTGTAATTAATCATCTCTTTATATTGTTTGGAGACAGACTTCTGAGGATCAGAATCAGTTGTGTAATTAACCGATTGAAGTCAGCCTGTAGTCGTCTGAAATATGCATTTTAGTGCATGCACATTGTATATGCTGCCTGCTTGTTCATTACTAAAGTTCGATCACAAGCTACATCTTTATGCATGATAGCATCAATGCTATGGGTTTATTGTCTTTCTGAAGTTCCTTTTTCTTCCCCCTCCTATATTTTTGGTTATATGTCAGCATTCGGCCTTCTTCATATGCTAGTTCATTTAGAAAACTAATTGTCTGTAATTTGGAAACTTGTATACAGTGACTAATGTTGAGTGATGTTGATATTATACTATTATTATAATAATATGCCATGGTTTGGTCCTATTGTGTGGGTCTTCTTTCCTTGAAAAATGTTTAACAATACTTTATTTTCATTTGTTGCGACTTCCATAGTGGCTCCCCTCCCCTTCCCCCTCTGTGGTGCACTCACATAAGTCCCATCCCATAATTTTTTTGTATTATACTTTTTATTTTTTACATTAATAACTTTTATTTTTTGGGTACAGGGTGATAACCTTGTCTATGGAATCTGTGAAGCTATTGATGGAGAAAAAGATCCTGAATGCCTAATGATCACATTTCATATTGTGGAAGTTTTGGCACGATTATTTCCAGATCCACTTGGTCCACTAGCAAGTTTTGCTGCAGATCTTTTTGAAATTTTGGGCTGTTACTTCCCTATCCATTTTACACATGTAAGATAAATGAGTAGTTTTCTTTTATTATATTCATTTCTATTTGGTATTTTCTTGCTTCAACTTACCAGGTTTATGTAGGGTGACTTATTTTTTTTTGAATTTTTTCCCCCCACCATTAATGAAATATGAGAATAGATTTTGTGGTTGATGGGCAGGGCACCATAAAGAGGTGTATTTCCCAATCTCTCTCTCTCTCTCTATAGGGAAGAGTGTAAAATGCATGTATTTTGATTCATTTGCTACTTACACTATATTTTTCTTTTATTGCTAATTCATTTGACTTTTTTTTCAAACTAGCCAAAAGGTGAAGAAGTTGATGTGAAAAAGGATGAGCTGTCAAGAGCACTAATGGTATGTAATTCGCTCCTAGCACTACCAGCGAGATTTTTCTCTTTTTGTTAATGATATTTTCTACTTGCATAGGCTTGTGGTTTATTTTACCTATATTCCCACAATTTCTATGCACAAACGTATTAATGGAAATACTGTTGTTGCAAGAACTGTATGTTTGATTAGTTCCTGATTATATTTTCTTTTTTAGTTATATGTCAGGGCTTTCTTTGTACGTGCTTAGAAAGTGGTTGCCTACTAGTGTATAGATAAACAATAGATGCTGAACTATTATGTAGGAAAATGACTGGAAAAGTATAGTTTATGTAGCCATATTTAAGTAGCTTGAAGCTCTGCTAAGTTGTCTTGGTGTGTGAATTTGATTTTGTACATTATTCTCAGAAAATGATAATGTTGACCTTGCCTTGTTACTGTTTATTACTTTGTTGTTCAACTTGGATTGGAAGAGGTGTTGGATTAATAAAATAAAATAGATAATACACATTTTGAAAACTGAATGATCCGAACGACTTGTTTCAAAGTTTTATCTGTATTTGTTCATAAAATCAGATTTACGTGCTGCTTAAATGCTTTTGTAAACTGGGAGCAGCAAAGAAGTCTAATTATCTTGTCATCCAAATATATGGAAAGAAAAAGAAAACTTTCATTTGGTAATCATTTTGAAGCTAATAATTGCTGCTTTTCTAGATGGAGTTATTTTACACTTTGCTCGATAGTGTGGCTTTCAAAAGGGCTACAATTCTCTGCTTTTTATCATGCTTCTTTGGTGCACTAGAAAGTTATATTTCCTTAGTTTTTAACCAAAACCTATTTTTTCACCTACCAGCTGGCATTCGCTTCTACAGCTCTTTTTGAGCCATTTGCCATTCCATTGCTTCTGGAAAAACTTTCTTCTTCTCTACCGTCTGCAAAGGTTGGTAAAAACAAATTGCGTCTCTAGTTTTGTTCCTGTAAGTAGTATATTCCATCACGCTAAACTAAAACATTATCTATGTCTATTTCGTCAATGACTTTCTATGCCCACAGGTTGAGTCTTTGAGATATCTTAGCTATTGCAGCGTGATGTATGGAGCAGACAGAATGGCAAAACATGCTGAAACTCTTTGGTCTTCATTAAAAGATACAATATATAATTCATCACAACCTATTTCATCCTTGGAGACGGAACCACTGGATGGTATGGGTTTTCAGGAGAATCAAATTACAACAGAAGCTCTCCTACTTATGCAAAAGGTTATTCTGCAAAATGATGGCTTGTTCATAAGTTTGATTGTTGATGATGAAGAAATAAAGTCGACTATCAACTCCATCACTAGTTTTAAGAATTATGCTGATATTCCTACGCAAAACAAGAAGAAACTATATGCAGTTGGTCAAATCTTATCTGTTTCTGCCAAAGCTTCCATAGCTTCCTGCAATAGAGTGTTTGAAAGTTTCTTCCTCTGCTTAATGGATGCTTTGGGGCTTTCAGGTTCATCTGGGGATAGTCATCCAGAAGAAGATTATGAATTTTCTGGAAGACTTAAATATGGAGCCCTATATCTTTGCATTGAACTCCTTGCTGCATGCAGATATTTGGTTTTGGGCTGTGAAGAAAGTTCAGTTACTGTGTCTGCACATGAGAAATGGTGCTGCATGCTTCAGAGTTTTTGCTACTCATTAACTGAAACCTTATGTTGTACCCTAGTAACAAGTACAGACAAAGACATTCAGAATGCATATATTCACTCTGGAGGTATTTTGTGTAGGCACAACATATGGATGATTTTATATATGTGTTTAATTGATAACACCTTATTTTCCATCCCATAATCATTTTTTAATTTTTTTAAAAGTTTGTTTTGTCTTTTACTTTTTCCCAATGCATGTACTTTGTTTATTCCTTGAGAAGCTTGTGCAATAGGGATTCACAAAGATTAGGCTTACATGTCACATTAACTCAGGCAAGTGTGTGAACAGGGTTTAATGTTTAGGTGTCATGCATGTCTAATACATCAACTTTGAGGCATCGGGTCATGGCTGACTTTTTTAAGCACATAATTTCATTTTTCTATATCCAGAATGAATGAAGTGTCTCAGTAACATGGGATCTCCAACATGTGTAGTTGACTCATCTGATATATGCATTGATCTAGGAAGGTTCCTCCCTCTCTTTGTTGCATGCTTTCTAGGTTTGCTTACAAATAAAGTTTGCTTATTTATCAAAAAAAAAAAAAAAAAAAAAAAAGGCCTACCAAACAACTTCCACATGCCCATGCCTATGGCATGTTGTGTCCATTGTGATTGTTTATTTGACGTTCATGTTATTAGGGGTGTAACAACTATCTTAAAATGATTTTGTTGCCCTTTAGTGCTAGATCAGGAATATCACCAAAAGTAGCAATATACCCTCAACAATGATGGCTACACTACATGTGTTAAATATTGACCGAGAAATGCATTCCTTTTGAAGACATTCAGGCATCAACTGTTTTTTTTTTTTTGTTTTTCCAGATAATATATAAACCTGTCCGTGCCAAATTAACTCAATATCTACTTTTTTTATTGTGTAGGTATAATAGTTTGTAGTTTTTTTTTTCCTTCCCTTTTTTGATATGGGCTTTTTATGCAGCTTCAATGGAAGTGAAACTATTAATCTCTGTCCACACAGCAATTTTGTCTTCAGTAACTTGTTTTTGGAATATTATCTATTAGTCTCATGAGCTAACATTATTTAAATATGTTATTTCTCAAATGAGTGTACCCCTCTGATTTGCCACATGCTTATTTGTTATATTTGTGATTTTCAATTAATTTTAGATTTCCTCTCTCCTGTCTCCCTAAAGAAATAGAAAAATTGTCTTGTAATAATAAAATAAAAAATTTGTTTCAAGATGTTTTCTATGAATATTTATAAATTAAACTCAAATGAACTAAGTCTTGTCTGGATTTATTATATTTTCATGTTTGGATGCATAGTCTATTCTGAGTATGCTGATTCTCTTTCTCTCTCTCTCTCTCTCTCTCTCCCCCTTTCTGTCAAATTACAGTGAGGGGCTTGCAGATTTTGGCTACATTTCCTGGAAGCTTCTTACCTATATCAAAATCCATATTTGAAAATATTTTGATGAGGTTGATGTCAATCATCAGTTTGAATTTTGACAAGGCATTTTTGTGGAAGTTGTCATTGAAAGCGTTAGTGGAAATTGGCTCATTTGTTGATAATCGTCATGAAGCTGACAAGGCACCAATCTTTAAGGGTATTGTTGTAGAAAAGATTGTTTCGTTGATGTCTCCTGATGATTCTACCATGCCTTTATCACTCAAACTCGAAGCAATTTCTGAGATTGGCACAACTGGGCTGAATTTTATGCTGACAATTGTCCAAGGGTTGGAAAAGACTGTATTTGCCAAATTATCAGAGTCTTTTGTATGTCTGATTGTTAAATTCCTTTTCTGTTTGACTAAAATTATAGTTCTTCCATTGGGACATCATGTACTGTCCTCACCAAACGGAACAAAGCTATGACCTTTTTGTGTCGCTAAGTTGTTTGAAGTTGTGTCTATATTTTGGTATATACACTATAAAAGTCAATGGACAACATTGGGACACTGTTAACATAAAAACACCTGACTCAAACAATGAGGATAGTGCATAGTTCCTGGTCTTTGTTGGTTTTTCATCAATAACTTTTTCTTTCCCCTCTCCAAGTTACTTTTGGAGCTGCTAATTCCTTCGTTTAAACTTATATTCTGCTTGTGTAGGTACATGGGAATGTCGAATCAGCTGAGTCCACTGTTCAGCTTTTGGAATGTTTCTCTAATAAGTTGCTTCCATGGTATGCAAACCTCATCTAAATATTTCTTTCACTTATTCTAGTTCATCATAGTCCCTAGTTGTTCACTTATTCTAGTTCATCATAGTCCCTAGTTGCTGAGGTTCTGCCATCCTTTTCAATGTTTTCTTTTTCGTACATGATTACTTCAGTAACATTTTGTTCTGAAGCTAGTGAGTTCTCAATTATTGTATACACATCCGTATTGTTGTTTTTACTGTTACCACTTTTGAGTTTTGCTGTTTGTGCAACACCTTTCCAAGGGATGTTTACACAAATTTGAACTGTTGTTTAGTGAGACTTTCTTCCTGAGTTACAAGCTCCTAAATAAACATCCCATCTTCTCTGGTAGAATGAATCATATTGTTCCAGCAATATTTGCACTGCCTTTTTTATGGTAGAATGTAAACTGTAAGATAATTAGCCTTTCTGGTGTGGAACGTAGAAGTGAAAACAGAGAGGAGAAAGACTCAAGAGGCCACAAGCTTAAACACTCGCAATATTATTAATTCAAATCTGAATGGTAAAATGCAAAACTTAATATTTATAGACCATTAACCCAAATTTTAAAGTCTGAAACTAAACCCTAATAGAAAAATAAAAAAAGAAATTAGAATCCGTAATAAATAGGAAATCAAATATTAATAAGACTCCCAATTAAACAATAATAAAAAAGAAAATCAATATAAACATTAAAGACATAAAATTGTAAAATTGTAGATAACTTCTCCTTGTGCATGCATGAATATTGACCCTATTTTCTGCATCACTTTCCCTCTATAATACAGTCCACACATTGTTGTACCGTTGGTACATCTCCATTAGAGCTTGCTCTGCCTCTGACTTTCTCCGGAGGCTTCGCACTCGGTCACCCTTCCTCTCTTCGCTGAAGGCTGTATCAGCTCTCTCCCTCTCCACCCTTGGTGGGTCTGCGCCATCTCAATTCCTAGGGGGGCCCATAGTCTTTCCACGCTGGCAACAACCACCCACACCTGTCATATTTTAGCAAATGCCAAACAATACCTGAATATCCTGAATATTTCCAAATCTCATTTAGAAAAAGAAAAAAGAAAAAAAGAAGCTGGAATTAATCTGGATTACTATAGTATTGGAACCTATATGTTATTTTTTTCAATAAATAAAATATTTCTTGTTTAAAATTCTTAGCGTGCATGCTCTCCTGATGATACTCAGTATGTATATATATTTAAGTAGGTCTCAAATTGTGAATTACATAGATGCCAGATAATGAATCCCAAATTTTGGTACTAATGCTTGTAAATGTACAGAGAGTGGATGGGAGAGTATTTTTCATCCCTTCATATTGTTTTTCTCTTCCTAAATTTCTAACGATGCTACTCTTTGTAGAAAGTTAGTAGACTATTGTTTGCCATTTTACCTTATTACCTGCTGATGATTTAGAAAAACCTTGTGAGCTCAGGTTTGATAAAATTGGAGGTTTTGAGGAAGTCCCATTCCACTTTGCCATTAATATTTGGGACCAAATTGAAAAAAGCACTGATTTCAGCATTGGGCTCCAGGAAAAAGTAAGTATACCTGCCATATCATTTATTGAATATTTTTACTGATAAATTAGCTGTTTAGTTGATCTTTTTTAACATCTTTAAGTTCATTTTTGCATCATTGCACTGGCTTCAACAGTTTTGCAACTTTATGGAGAATGTACTCTCAGTAGTACTGATTGTAGAATTACCTGCATTTAGGAACTTGTTGGTGCAACAATGAAAGCAGTAAAGCTAGCTGTTGCGAATTGTTCAGAGGAAAGTCAAAGCATCATCGTCCAAAAAGCCTTCAATGTACTTTTATCAAGTACTTTCTCATCGAAGGAGATCATATCTGGTACCACTTCAACCAAACTTGAAGCTTCACAGCTTAATCATGGTTTGAACAGTTTTCCATGTAGAGACCAGTGGAGAGTTTCATTGTTTGCTTCAGTCATCATAGCTCTTCGTCCTCAAACACACATCCCAAATGTAAAAGCTATAGTGCATATATTTTTGACAACCCTCCTCAGTGGTCATGTTCCCGCAGCTCAGGCTTTGGGTTCCATTGTTAACAAACTACCTCTAAAAATCAACACAATGGAGACCTCAGATGGCTGTAGTTTAGAAGAAGTATTGGATATAATCTTTAGCACTAGTGTGTGGACTTCTGACGGTAATGGTCTTTTAAGGAGGGTCTGTGGAACAGGTGATGGCAGTGATATTAGTCTTAGTGGTTTAAGACTAAGTAATGTAAACAATAGCTTGCTTCACATCCATGCCATTGTTGGACTAGCATGGATGGGAAAAGGTTTGCTTATGCGGGGTCATGAAAAAGTGAGAGACATAACAATGACTATTTTGAGTTGTTTACTGTCGGACAGCGATGTTGGGGCCTTGTCATTGAAGCAGGGTCCATCAAAAGACAGTACTGAGCAGGATGTACTTGCTGTGATGAAATCTGCAGCAGATGCATTTCATATTCTCATGAGTGATTCTGAGGCTTGTTTGAACCGAAGATTTCACACAATTATTCGACCACTCTATAAGCAACGCTATTTCTCAACAATGATGCCCATTGTGCTATCTTCAGTGGCGAAATCTGATTCCCCAATCACAAGGTACAAGCAGGCATAGCTTAAGAAATTTCCTATGTTTTGTAGGTTGATAATCTTCAACCTGTAGTTAACATGTTATGCTATTGTACAATATCTGTGGCTCACATTTATTTTATGCAATCTCTTAAGTTCACTGAATGTTTCCTACCTAGCCTTGAAATCCTAACCCAGATTTTTGAGTGTTGATGTTCTTAAAGAATTGCTTACAGTTTTAGCTTCATCTGGCTTTGTACTGTTGTCTTCTTCTTGTTTATTCACTTAGCAGTACCACAGCTGTAAAGTATATCATTGATTGACTACACTGATGCTTCATCTATTTTATGTCACATTACACCTGGCCATTTTCTTAATGGATATGAGAAGAGGACTTTTTTGCATGCACTACTGCTTGGCATTTCATACTCAGCAGGTTAAAGGGGTTTTTTTTTTTTTTTTTTTTTTTTTTCTCCTTCCCCTTTCCAGTTTTTACATATCTATAGTTAATCCCTTATATTTATTTATGACACTTTATTGTTGGAAATTATTGCTAATTGATTTAATGCTATTTCCAACACCCAAACAGTGTGGGTGTTTGGGAAGTGGGTTTTTTTGTAGGTTTTTTTAGTTGTAGGATATTATTGGAGAAATTTTTTTTTAATTTTTTTTTTTTTTTTTGGGAAGATAGTTGGGTTTTTTTGTGGTTGGATGTGATGTTTGTGAGAGAAAAAGTGAAATGATTATGGGGTTTGATGTGATATTTTGTTTAGATTTGTTTTTTTTGGTTTTGTAACTAATTTGTCTTTTAGTGAAAAAAAAAAAAAAAACCTAAAACTAACTTCCCAAACAACCCCTGTATCATCACTGCTCTCCATATAATTTCTTTGGTAATTTCGCAAATATTTTACTAGTTCTATTGGTATGTGTTTATATGTGCTAAGCAGGATGCTAATATACTACTGCCTGCAATATTAGGCCAACAAAAGATAAATGTTGATTACCATTTCTGAACCTTTTGTATTTGATTGTTGTGCTTTCAATTTGCTCTTGTTTGTTGTTGTTGCATTAGAAGATAGGTAAATCCTTTTTTATGATGAACATTTGTTAATTATGGATCTAGTTGGATGTTGATCAACCAGATCCAACCTCAGCATTGTTAGTTAAAATTTATGTCCTGTAATTATGATGAATTTAATAATCACTAATCTTGTAGACTTTGTGAATTTGGCTTTTCGAAAGCCCTAGTTCTTGATTTGATAAATTGTTTATTAATATTGATTTTCTGTCAAATTGCTATATGATCTCAGATCCATGCTGTATCGAGCCTTTGCACACATTATATCTGACGCTCCACTCAGCGCTATGTTGAGCGAAGCTAAGAAGGTTGGTGTTGGATAAGCTCAAAACTTCTACTCAAAGTGTTGTTTTGTTGATTCAGATTTGGCAATTAGCACCCTTCTGTTTTGCAGCTCCTTCCCATATTACTGGATTGCTTATCCATGTTGAGTGAGGAGATTTCGGACAGAGACATAATCTACAGTATCCTGCTAGTCTTGTCTGGAATATTGACAGACAAAAATGGTAAGATCATTGCTGTATTACAAGACCGTGTCTTCTTAGTTTTTCATTTATACGTGCATCTGCTCTTGTTCTAGGATTCAAAAACTTGTGTAAAATAAATAAATAAAAAATAATATATACTACCTTCACTGCTATTACATCTGCCAACTGTACATGGACTGTCTCCACCTGCTTTCTTCTGCTACTGGTGAGAGGCAGAAATCTAGAGGAATGGTTGGGCCAACCAAGTGCTCGAGTTGTGAAAGAGGGAGGGAAGGGGACACACTAAGATAATGCTTGCTAAAAGGAAGATTCAAATGAGTAAAAAGGAAAAGATATATTATCCCACAGAATCAATCGCACATAGGAAAAGACATATTTACACAATTATATAAGGGTAAACATAATTACACAAATTTTGAAAATTACACAACTACCAAAGTGTACTCCATGTCAAATTTTGATATTGTTGCTTTTTCAGTGGTACACTCCGCCTCAGCCATCATATGAAAACATGTTTGTGGAAGTTAAAATTGAAAACAATTTCCATGCATTCACGAGATTATTACTTTTAGACGACCATTCTAACATTGAATGTCCAACCACTTATTGTGACAATTCTCTCTTTTGACTCATGTATGCAGGTCAAGAAGCTGTTGTAGAGAATGCACACATCATTATTAGTCGTCTTCTTGGGCTTATCTCCTACCCCCATATGATGGTATAAGACTTTTCCACAGGAACTCCACTAGTCTTTTAGCGGGGACTTTCCTTTAGCGTGGTGTTACAATATGATTTGATTTATGAAGGAAAAATTCAAAATCTATGTTATGAATTCATCATCCTTATTTTTCTAATACAACTATTTTTATCATGATTTTCATTTTCCACTGTTCATTACTGACCTTCAGGCTATGAATTCATTGCCACTTTAGACTCGGGTCAAAAAGGGCATTGTAAACCTAGGTGTTTCTCTTGTAGATTTGTTCTTGTGGATAAATGTTCCTGGTAATATTGTGTTATAATTGTGATTTTGGCATGGTTATTCATTATTCCTTGGAAAATGTGGAGCACAAGCATATGAATGCACTATTACCATTGTACTAGAAAATTAAACATGCATTATAGCACACTCAAAGTCAATTTTAGTATTAAGTACAATGGGGCTAACTGCTGAATAATGGTAACATGGTAGCCATATTTATAGAAATACGTCTCTAATTTAGTCATAAAAATATTCTACTGTATAAAAGCTTTACTGTTTTATAGATTGTTGTTTTTTAAACTATAATTGATTGTAATCTGCTATATGGGTGATAATTAAGACCTACTAGAAGAATCATGCTGATCTTTGTGATTGCAGATCATCTTAACTTCTTCTGTTGCATCTTTGAATTATTTCCAAATTTATCAAAATATTTGAACATTATGGAAAATAAGTCAGTTTTTATAATTTTACAAATGCCCTTTATATCATGTAGCCTAATGACTCGATTTTAAGTATATGAAGGGAATTCTAATATTCTTGGAAATTTTGATTTTTTGGTCTATCAGCAAAATTCTAAAAACCAAAGCATTATCACCTATAAATGTAACATCGATTGCCATATATAGTTAATTCTATAATCTAACTCATATATTGCTCATTCTGAATTTTCAAGTTTGTATAATTAAAAAATAACCTAAGTTCATTTTCATTTTGTTGAATCAAAAGCACCCAAATATATTTTCTCTTAATTCTTGTTTTTTAAGATTCTGTTTATCATCCCGAGCTTTCTTTTCTTGTTCACTTTTTGTGGAAATAAATTTCTTAAATTTATTGCACAGCTCCTGTTGAAATTATGCAAAAATTGTCCTTTTGTGTTCAGCTTGTTCGAGAGACAGCAATTCAGTGTCTTGTTGCCATGTCTGCGCTACCCCATGCAAGGATATATCCCATGAGAACACAGGTTCGCTCTTATCATGCAAATGTCGAAAATGAAAATGAAACACATTACAAGTTTGAATAATTGTTCTTGAATAGTACCCGCTCCAATTGAAAGACTTACGTTTTTTTCACCTTTGTTGTTTCATTAATCTTATGGTAAATAATGGAATTGAAAAAGAAAAAAAAAATCTACTGCCTTATTAATTAAGGCATTGTGTCTGACATCTATGTGTGTATTTACATTTTCAGGTACTACGAACTATATCAAATGCTCTTGGTGATCCAAAAAGGGCTGTACGGCAAGAAGCTGTCAGATGTCGGCAAGCATGGTTAGAGCTTCTAGATCTGTATTGGTGGTGTTTTCAATTAGTTTGATCTCCTTTTGAAGGTAAGTTTGACATTTGTTTTCCATTGTTTTCTGTTCTCAATAAAACAGGGCTTCAATTGCATCTAGAAGTCTTCATTTTTGAGGAGGCATAGAAGAATTCATCTAGGGCTGGCTAGGTAAGATGTAAAGAGTCTTCCTGAATATTTTGTGGTTATTTATTGGACTGCAATGATTTTATTATATTTGAATGTGAATAGAGTGAAAAGGAATGTAAGGTAGATGCTGACATGTACTGCATTAATAAATTGACGTCTTCAATTGAAAATCTTCTTCACAACGATATTTTATCTAAGCATTCTGCATCAATATCATGATTTTCTTTGCCTCTATAATTATATTTATTAGACATGAAGGTCTTGCATTGTGAAGAATTGTTTTATTTGACACATGATATTTTGAAGCTAAGTAGTACCATGGACACTTCTAAGAAGGTAATGTATAGTGTCAAACACTGACACAACATGAAACTTCCTAACACTTAGATACATATGAAACACATTACAAGTTTAAATAAAATAACTTGAATCCAATGATAATAAAAATGATTTGTAAATGCTTCTTAGATCTGAAGTAAAGGGGACACCGAAGGAAGGAAATTGTGAAATAGAAGGTGGAGTCCTGTTACAGTGCTACCTAAAAATTCAAGAGAATGAAGGGTAGAATATATAAGTGTGGCCGTGGAAAAGTAAATACGAAAAAAAGTAAATCATTTGGAAAATCATGAAAGATTATGATTCTTCTACGTACACCTCTCCCACAACTTCTTGATGCATATTTTATTCAATTCAAAAGCACATGCATGTGCTGAACGCAACGATCTAAGAAGTACGGATACGAACATCTGGCACAACACATGAAGGATACGCATAAAATATATAATTTTATATATTTATTATAGATATATATGGATAAATAATTATTATATGTCTTATATATTAATGTTTAATTCAAAGATAGTACTTTTGTAATTTTTAAAGTCTAAAAACGTTGGTTTTCTTCTATCATTGGTTTGCAAATTATTTTATTCCAACTTGTAATGTGTTTTAAGCAATACACGCATTTCTCAAGTGTTTGAACCGTGTCTGAGTCTATTTTATTTTATTTTTTTTAAATTAGCAAACATGTTTGGACGTGTGTTCGATTGGTGTTGGGAGGTGTTCGACAAGTGTTGTGTCATGTTGGCAACATGTTGTTGTCCTAGAAGTGGCTGTGTTTGTTAGTGTAACATGTATAGTTGTCTTCCTTCAAACATACTTTTCTTTTTTCCATAGGGAATATCCAAACAAAACCAAACAAAACCAAGCCTTAAGTCCCATCAAATGAGGTCAGCTACATGAATCCTTCTTCTCCACGTGGCTCTATTAAAGGCCATTTCGTTAGTCAAATTAAGTAGATCCATATCTCTATTTACAACGTTAGCCAACGTTAATCTAGACTTACCTGGTCTCCTAACACTTCCATTTACTGTCACTGCATTGCATCTTTTTACTACTGCCCCTGTTGGTCTCTGTTGAATATGATCAAACCATCTCAATCGTTTCTTTCTCAAGTTATCTTCTATCGGTGTTACTCCTACACATTTCCAAACACACTCATTCCTAATTCTGTCTTGTCTAGTCTTGTCACACATTCACCTTAGCATCCTCATCTCAGCAACACTCATCTTATCTACATGTTGTTTCTTGGTTGCCCAACACTCCGTCCCATACAGCATCGCCGGTCTAATAGTCATTCTATAGAACTTACCTTTTAGTCTAGTGGGTATTCGTTTATCGCACAGTACCCCAGATGCACTTCTCCACTTAAGCCATCCTGTCTTAATCCTATGGGCCATATCCACATCAATCTCCTCCGTCGTTGTGATAATTGACCCTAAATAACGAAAATGTTCACTTTTAGGCAATTTTTGGTTCTCAATCTTCATTTCTCCTCTACTTTCATTGTTACTATTACTAAATTTACATTCCATGTACTCTGTCTTAGTTCTGCTTTTCCGAAATCCTTTAGATTCAAGTGCGTTTTTTCAAATCTCCAACTTTGTGTTAACTTCTTCTCTAGTCTCATCCACTAACACAATATCATATGCAAAAAGTATACACCATGGCACGTCATCTTGAATATTTATCGTCAACTCATTCATAACTAAAGCAAAAAGATAAGGACTTAGGGTAGATCTTTGGTGTAACCTTACTGTGATAGGAAATTCATTTCTCTCTCCAGTAGGCGATCTAATAGTGGTCACCGTCTTTTCATACATGTCCCGAATCACATCAATGTAATCTTTTGTCACTCATTTCTTTTCTAACACCCACCATATTATATCCCGAGGCACTCTATTATATGCTTTCTCAAGGTCGATAAATACCATATGAATGTCTCTTTTCTTTTCTCTATACTTTTTTATTACTTTCCTCAAAAGATAGATTGTTTCCATTGTTGACCTGCTAGGCATAAACCCAAATTGATTCTCTGACACCTCTGTTATATCTCGCAATCGGCGTTCCATCACCCTCTCTCACACTTTCATTATATGACATATTAGCTTGATTCCTCTATAATTGTTGCAATTATGGACATCTCCTTTATTCTTATAGATTGGCACTAAAATACTCTTTTTTTACTCATTTGGCATGTTCCTAGTCAACAAAATTTTGCTAAACAACCTAGTCAACCAAGCAACCTTTTTTTACCCAAACACTTCCAAGCTTCAATAGGGATATCATCGGGTCCTAAAGCATTATTTGATTTCATTTTCTTAAGTGCAATCTCCACTTCAAATTCGTAATCTTGCGATAGAACTTATAGTTTTGGTTTATTGTATTACTGGTTATTTCTTCCTCTATTGACGTACTTTCATGTTCCTCATTTAATAGTTTCTCAAATAGTTCTTCCATCTCTCCTTGATCTCTTCATCCTTCATCAATACCTTAGAATTCTCACTCTTGATGCACTTAACTTGATTAAAATCTCTTGTTTTCTTTTCCTGTATCTTAGCAAGTTTGTATACCCTCTTCTCTCCCTCCTTACTATCTAGTCTAGTGTATAGGTCATCATAAACTTTTAACTTAGTCTCTCTCACTACTTTTTGACCTCTTTATTAGCTAATTTATAGCTCTTAAGGTTTTCCTTAATTCTATTCTTCGGCCACTTTTTAAAGCACTCTTTTTTTGCCTTAACTACCGCTTGAACCTCTTCCCTCCACCACCAAGTTTCCCTGGAGCTGGGTCCCATTCCTTTTGACTCTCCAAGCACTTCTCTTAAGATTCTCCTCATACAATTGGCCATCGCATAGTGTTAGCATCATCTTCCAAGTCCAAGTACCTTCCTTATTCATTCCATTCTTAAATATTTCTAACTTATCCCCTTTTAGGTCCCACCATCTCGTCCTACGATGCTCACCATCCTTCCTAGCTTGGTATTGCCCTTTAAAATATAAATCTGGTACCAAAATCCTATGTTGAGAGGCCAGGCTCTCTCTAAGAATCGCCTTACAATCACTGCATTTTAGGTGGTTCACTTTTCTCACTAAAAAATAATCTATTTGGCTCTTAACTAACCCACTCTTAAAGGTTATCAAATGCTCCTCCCTCTTCTTATACATAGTATTGGCCACCACCAAGTCAGAAGCCAACGCAAAATCTAAAATACTCTCTCCAGCCTCAGTTTTATCACAAAAACTGTATCCACCATGCATCCTTTCATAACCTAGTTTATCTATGCCTACATGGCCATTGAAATATCCACCTATAATTAGGTATTCTCCTACGGGTATCTCCTGTTAGATCTCATCCATTTGCTCTAAAAAATCCATCTTAGTCTGACCATCTAATCCTACTTGAGGAACGTATGCACTAATAACGTTCACTATATTCCATCCAATAACTAGTTTAATTAACATAATCCTATCCCCTTTTCTAATGACCGCCACTACATTTTCCACAAGACTCTTGGCAACTATGATTCCTACTTCATTCTTGCACCTATCCTTACCACTATAATGCAGTTTAAAACCGGTATCCTCAATTTCCCTAACTTTCTCACTAATCCACTTAGTTTCTTGTACACGTACTCTTCTCCTAATCATAACATCTATCAATTCTATCGTCTTACTAGTTAAAGTTCTTATATTCCAAGTGGCTATCTTAAACCTATAGTCTTGGACTAGCTTCTTTACCTGTGCTCATTCAGAAAAATGCGGGAACCTTTGCCCATTTTTCACCGCACCCAAGTGTCGATGCTGCGCCCCTTGCACACTTTTCGAAACACCCGGAAGCAGGTACAACGCGTCACTTGAGGGGAATGACTTAGCATTTAATCAATTCAAAGTAGGATTCATTATCATAAGGGATCCGAGCGACTTTTTACGTGTTGGTTGTCGGTTACCTAATACACAACCCTCCTTTTTTACTCGGACTTGGGATCGGCGGAGTTGTTAACAACCCCGACGGAGTTCCAGAGGGAATATCGAAGAATTTAATTCATAAGACGATGAAACGGGCATATAAGTTGTCTCATATTTGTTTATTTTGATGTTAGGGCACATGTACAGAGGAATATCAGTGCACATGCCTGCAACCGACTTGTTTGGATGTTTTTTGGCGACATTTGGCTGTGGACCTTGTGGTGAAACATCGAAGCATCCCCTTAGCATGAGACTGACAAATAGAGTTGTCATGCTATCAAGCTTACCATATGTACTGCATATGTATATATGCAAAATGTTGAGAAATTTCTAGGTTGTTCTGCCTATGACAGATTATTATCTTTAAATCAGTTTTTCTTGTATTCTTTTGTGTATTTAATTTGTTCCGTTTTCAGTTTTCCCCAGGAAGCAAAAGTTTGGTCCTTGTTTCATTTATCAGGTGCAATTGTATATTCAGAATTGTTGTGAGAAACAACTTTATCATGGTGATGAAATATGTTTTTGCTTTTTGTGGGCGTGCATGGTTGCTTCATTATGAAAGGTCTAAAGTAGGATATTCGGTGTGTATGTTTTGGTGAAAAATATTTGTTTGGTTTTGAAACTAACGTGCTAGTGGTTGTTTAGTGGTAGGGATGGTGGTGTTAATGTTAGTGTGGGGGGGATTGATTAAAACTTTAATTCCGAAAACACATTTTACTTTTTAAAAGTGAAAAATAATGTTCGTCTTAATAAACTTTTTTTTTTCTTTTGATCGTGATTTTATTTTAAACTTTCATTTTTATCATGCTAAACGCCAGAAATGGTATCTGTTAACCATGACGCTGGAGAAGTTTTCAATAATGCTGAAAAATTTACTACACATTTTATGCATTTGTTTTTTGAATTTTTTTACACATTTCTGCAGTTTCACAAATGCCCTTTGAGTAGTCTTTAGCATTTTTCATGTATTTAAACTAATAAATCAATTATCAAATGCAGTTCACTCCAAAGCACAAGGCAATTAATGTCAACAATTTAAGAGAACTAATAAAATGTTAATTGATGGTATGGTGCCAAAAATAAACAAAGAAAAGAAAAAAAATAAGAATCTTAAACCATTACTTTCAACAGGTTTATACTCAAATTGGTATGGCTAAAATCAGTTGGGCAAATGCACTAAAAAAGAATTTCTTTATTTGAAGGAAAAAAAAAAAAAAAAAAAAAAAACAAAGCAAAGCAAAGCAAAATATACTGTAAGAAGACGTTTATAACAAATGATTTAACACTTCCAAAATAAAGAAAAGCATGAACAACTAAGTTGAGTTGTAATTAACACTACTAACCATTTGACACGTAATTTCAAAATAAAGAATAGCATGAACTACTTATTTAAGTTGCAATTAACAACACTAATAAATCTGAATAAGAGAACTTAAACCATTGATTGATAATAAATAAAATTAAATACAAAAAATGAGGTAAATATTTTCAAAATTTGGTTCTACTTGCCACATAATGAAACCCTACCTACCACTGGATTTATCTCTACTTTTACCACATCAAATCCTCAACTTATACCACAAGAATTAACCAAGCAACCACTTAAACCAGCAACAAAGATGAAAAGAACAAATTATGATTGCTGGGAAAAACCGAGCACCCGAAGTAAAATAGTTTTACTCCATGCAAAACAAAAGTTACTTATCCAACTATTAGCCTTTTTACTTACTACTACTATTCTATTAAGTTCAACTATTATTATCCTTTATTCAACAGTTGCATAAACAGCAATCAATCCGACATGTCGTACTCGCCTCCACTAGATTGCTCCATGTCTTGGTCTTGGCCTTGGTCTTGGTCATGCACAACCTTCTGTTTCACCCTAACACCATCCTCAATGTCTGCCCCTCCTCTTTTTGAACCTAAGTAACCCTGTAATCACCGCCAAGTAGAGAAATGTTATCATGAATCATGAATGGAAGACGAAAAAGAGTGACTAAAAGCAGAGTTCACCATAAGCAAAATCCAGCACATCAAAATCCACATCATACCATTGATTCCTTCAATTCGATTACAGCAACAGTTGATCTTTTCCTTACTGTCACTCTTGAAGGTACTGGGAAATGCTCAACTTCTTCACTTGACTTTCCTTCTTTGGCTCTCTTTTTCCTTAAAATGAGCTTTGTTGGAAGAGGCTGCATTGTAATAAGAATCAGTAAAAGCACAGCAATATACTGAAACAAAACTCGGTAATAATAATAAGCAAACTTGTCCAGGTCGATACCGCATAGTGTGCCTCTGATTCACCAAATGACACGAAGTATGTTGCAGGGTCATCAGCATCATCACCACGTACCTAAAGAAGCGTAAAAAGAGAACAAAATTCAGTAACAGTTTTGACTAAACTAAAACCATCTTTCTAGATAATGTTTCAACAATTTGGCACATACATCCCAATGGTACTCCCGAACCCACGAATATGAGACATCTTCATTTTCATCATACATATCCTTTGATAGCTGCAACCACCAGAATTTGAAATGAATAAATAGATGATCAATTAAAGTCAATCTTACAAGTACAAGATCAAAGCTTGGAAATATTATATCGGAAAGTATGCTTTAACATTTCAATTAAATGTACCTCATCTGGTGCAGGTGCCATGTATGCTAAGAATTTTTCAGGCTTAGAAGAGTCTGAGCCAGTTGCCACATAACTTTTCATGATGGCCTATGGGAAGCATATGAAGAGTCAGTTAAAGACAGGACAGCCATATCTATCTCAAATAATATTAAAATTTTAAATCAGCATCACATGAAAACATCTTCAGTATCGAAGGCAAACAAAAGACAGATTAGTCCAGACAGAAAGATGGCAAAGGACATAATGATAAAAAAGAATCTCAAGACAAGCAAACTTGAGAGAAGAAATATGAAACTGAATACAATTGACACGGAGAGAGAGAGAGAGAGAGAGAGGGTGTAATACAATATCAAAATGGCAAACAAAACAATTGAAGTGAAACTAAAAGTTGTTAAGAAACTAGAAGCAAATAGCAAGTAGATCATAGTTATGCACCAATAGTTTAACTACTGCAAAGCTATCAAGGAGCTTTCAACATACATTCTTTAAATGCTCGGAATCAAATGAAGACTCACTTCTATGTTGCATAGAAACCGGGTGATTGATGTTGAAATCTGGTATGAGAGATTGAAGTGCCAGAAGTAACAAAGCTCCAAAATAGAGCATAACGTAACCGCAAGTTTAACCGCAGAAAATAACTTCAAGGATCCATGGAAAATTTAATTTCCATTTAAGATTTGTTTTTAGTATAGAAGACACACATTTATGCAATGCTCGTCGTCGAGTTAGTTCTGATCCATGTTTTTGGAACACTTGCAATACATTTAGGGGGAGAAAAGGAATGTGTTTCCAGCCTGTTTGCTGGAAAGGGTATTCCATAAATAAGGATATCAAGTTATAACATTTTTTATGACCGTGATTGATACCTAATTTTTCACACTACAAAATACCGACCAAGGATTTTTCACACTAATATGAGGATCTACTGCTGAACAGCAAACAAGCAAATAATACTTGTCTGGTGAAACAATCAGAGACAAATCAATAGATGCCGAAATGTATTTCAGACAACAGGCTATTTTTAAAGACACTAGCAAAATTGTGCTTCTTTTGACTTCAGTTTTATCAATTATTTAACGCTTTTCAAAGTAGAGAAACACATTATACATTTGATTCTGGCCACCTGTTATTACACTAGGGTAAAGAACATAATGGATCAATAAAGTGCCCATACTTGAATCTTAACCTACAAATATAGTAATATCATATAATCGGGCTACCAATCTGTCATATCTATGCAATAGAACACCCATGGATGTCTTACCCGAGATTCATGGTCATCACGAACAGATTTGTCCAACTTGCTGAAGGGCTCTGCATCAGCAGTAGGAGCACTATCAAAAGTTGCAACGACAAACTGGTCATCATACCTAGCACAAAAACACAAGCTCAATGTCACTAAAAAAATGGACACCAAAACATCATTAAGGACAAGAATAAACATCCCACAAGCTAGGATATACTATTAAATGAATGCATAACATGGAACATATTTCAATTACACACTCAGACAGACTTCTTATCATTCTAGGATATACTATTAAATGAATGCATTTCATGGAACAGATCAGGGCTAAAACTTTTACATTGCTAATTTAATTTTTACAAAGCAAACCTCCGCACAAGTACAATCACACCGAATTCAGATATGTTCTATATCGGCAGATACAAAATATGCTTTATGGTCAAAAAAGGACTATCATTATTTTTTTTGGGGGTAACAGCATAGAAAAAAAATAATAACAAATAAAGACCGCATAGTGTGCCTCTGATTCACCAAATGACACGAAGTATGTTGCAGGGTCATCAGCATCATCACCACGTACCTAAAGAAGCGTAAAAAGAGAAAAAAATTCAGTAACAGTTTTGACTAAACTAAAACCATCTTTCTAGATAATGTTTCAACAATTTGGCACATACATCCCAATGGTAAAAAAAATCAAAATGGGATGTTACTCATGTATGGAAGGTTAAACAATGAAAACTTCCCACACTTTAACAAAAGTGGCCTATACATTCAAAAGACAAAAAGGCCTCGAGACTCTTACAACTGAAGAGAATCAACAAAATTCACAATCTGATCAAGATTTGGGATAACTCTCCCAAACAATCAACTACACAAAATACAAAAAGAGACTCTTAAGTTACTATACACCAGGAAAAGATCTTCTGTCCGCTGCCTATACAAAAACCAAAACAAATACAAATGAGCCAAACTCATTTGATTCACCATTACACTTCCAAAGGCAAACACCAATTCACAAAATCAGTCAGCTCCTAATAAGATTATCAATCACAAGGATCTCCTTATGAGTTGCATTTCATACAAAGAAGGCTACCTTGGTTGGAGCTCCCAAGGTCCAAATGCCTTTCCAAGGAAAATTCTCCCTTTTGTACCCTACTAAAGCCCCATAAGAAGACTTGACATCAAACCTTCCTTAACTACAATCCACCCTAAAAAAATCAGCACCTACCCAACATTCCTAATCCCTAAAATCATATCAAGCAAATTAATCAACTGCTCTATTTTCAGTCCTTCACATTCCTCCTTATGCTGATATCAGAAAAAAATTTGTTGCCTACAACCCTGATGTAATTCACCACCAAGGCTTCTTTATTGATAGCGTAAAGAAAAATAGAAAGAAAGATGCTGCATTTCCACACCACTTTTGCCACCAAAACTTCACCCTACCCTCTTCCCACCCTAAAAATATCAAAACCTCACAAAGTCATCCCAAAATAAAGGTGAACGTATCCTGCTAACCTCCTTCGAACAATTCCACATCCAATAGTTTTTGACTTTAAAGAAGATCCAAACAAAAGGTCTCAATATGTAACTGGAAGGATACTTGTTTCTACAGCTCAACCACATTTGGAACTTCTCCCACAAGAATTAGCTACAACTTAACCAAATGTATCTTTAGTCCCATAACGACCTCAAACCCCAAAAGTACACAACGAAGATAATCCACAAGTACTGGATTTGCTCCACAAAACTTCAAAGCATCATCCGCATACAAGAAATCATAAAATGTCATCAAAGAACCCTCTATCAAACCCACTCTAAAATCCTTCATCAGAGTCGATGATTCCATTATTTGAATGAAAAGCAAGGGATATAATATCACATTGCCTCAAACCCCTCTCTTCGCTCTATTCTGTTCTCCATCATTGAGTTAACGTTTTTTCCAGTTAAATAATTCATTTGGCCTCTCGTAAGGACATTCTACATTGCATAAACAAAAGATGCAACAAATAAGCTCCATACCGTTCAAAATCAGGTAGTAATGGCAGAATTTCAACAGGATGCAGCTTGCTATTTGTTGCATGAACAGGTCGTGACTTGCATCTCTCAAATGAAGCCTCAATTTCTTGGATTCTCCTTTCCCTAAAAAGTAGGAAACACATCTTTTATTAAAAGAATAGATATCACACACAAGTCTATTCTGCTTACATTCTCTTCACATGGACATGATGGAATATAACAAACCTATTATTGAAGTTCTCCAAAATGTTGTGGCCTCCCCGAGCTTCTCGCAGTTCTTTTGCTTGTTTTTCAGTCAGAGACTGCAAATAGCATAGCAATAATAATGACATAGCTTTCCAAATAATTTGTCAGAAGAGCAAAAAATGCTTCTCATATGATGCTGTAGTTATAGATTACCTGTTTTGCTGCTTCCGTGCTCAGAGGAGAGATGTACTGTGTTTTGACCAGCCAAGAAACACCTTTATCAGTTGGCCGTTCTTTCTTTCTTATGCCATCTTTTTTGACAGGTGTCACTGGATCATCATCTTGTAACAACAGCTCATCTTCTGGATCAAAGGGCAACCTTTCACCCTTGGGAGGACTAGTCAAGGAGAAAAAGTTCTATCAGGGTTACGTTGCTAAAAAGAACAGCTGAGGGAATTCAAAGTGGGCTATCAAGAGAAAATACTTGTATATACTGAGATCAAGCAGATCAAGCGGTATCCCAAGATCCGGCTCAACATATAGTCGAGGCTTGTGCATTTTCTCCAATGATGTAACTGTGTATTTTGTGAATCTGCAAATATGGATCATGAGCTTTGGAACAAAAGCAAAACAATTGAAATAAAACTAGAAATTTCAATATTTCAAAACAATTATAACAGATTTGATTATTTTTCCATAATGGTAAATTTCAAATAAGTTCTACTTTTCCCACAAAATTTCCATTACTATGTCGATAAGGTTTAACGATATGTTAATAGGACGGGAAGATTTTTTTTTGAAAAAAGTAGGACTCATTGGAAATTTTCGTTAAAAATTACAGTTCCAAGTTGTGGCATGTTCAAGTAGATCGTGCGGTAAATGTAAACGAAAGAATCAAGTCAGTACCCATTTTTATTTACTTGGTGCACATCTAGTGAGGAAAGAGAGGGAGCAAGGAGGACAAAAAACAAACAAAAGCAACTATTTCCATACCAAAAATTACAAAACCATCAGCAAAATTTGAAATTTTGAAAATAGATCTGTAATATTACTTCTGTTAGGGTCTGAAAAGGCTATCTTAATTCTTGGGTTTAGAGAAATTTCATTTCAGAAATATGAAAAGTTGGAGGCATGTAAGTTCTGAAAAGTGCAACAAATTCAGTAAGGGGTTCATTTTTAAAAAATTGGGAAGTTGAAGAGGGGTCCGTATGGATAAGGATATCTTAATTCTTGGTTTTAGAGAGATTTCGTTTCAGATAAAAAGTTGGAGGCTAGTAAGTTCTGCAAAAAAACAGCAGATTCAAGGAGAGGTTTATGTTACAAAAATGGGAAGTTGGAGTCCGGTTCATTTGGCAAATAGAAAAGTTAGGCTTCAGTTGCATTTTCCTAATACTAAAACTTTATCAGGAGACCAATTGAAAATTTGATATATAAAGAGGCAGACTTAGAAAATAAGAATTTACATCCACTGCTCCAAACACATTCAGATGTCCTATTTCAGCACATTCATCAAAAAAATTTCATGTATTCTTTTAACTACTATATATTCAGTATTTTGATATATTTTGCATCCAACAAGCTCTGTATATGTGGCTAGAGAATTTTGATTTGCTAAATAAAAGTGCTTCCAAGCAACTTGAGGAGTTAATAAATAAGGGGCAAGAAAAAAAGTGCACACCCTACTATTGATGCAGACACCACCATGAGCCAATCAACTCATTCTTTCATGCATACTATATTTAAAACACAAAATTATAAGCATGTGTAACCATGTGATTGGCAGGGTGGCTGGGCGCATAACCATGTATGAATAAGGTTAAATGTTCAATAAGATTGCATACCTATCTCTGTCTCTCTTCAAAGCCATAAGCTTTGGTTGTGCAGATGGATCTGGTAACTCGTTCCGGAATCTTCAAAGAGCGCACACAAAGAATAAGCGATTAGTATTAATAACAAAGAAAACACACCCTCCCAGCACTCTGAGATGCAAGAAGACTGCCACAAATAAACTAAAGAATTAGAAAATGATTTTAGTTAAGAAAAGCAAAGGATACATTCAAAACAATACTAGGTGTGAGTACAAAGTTAATGATAATAAAACATACATATGTGATAGCATAACATTACAAGCCTAGTCGAAATAAGAACAGCAAAGGATACATTCTTAACAATACTAGGTGTGAGTCCAAAGTTAATGAAAATAAAACATACATATGTGACAGCATAAAGTCAAATGCCTAGTTGAAAACAGAAAAAGCGTTGTAAAAAGATTTCAAGAAAAGGAAGAACAGAATTTACTGAATTAGCTACCTATTTACCAGAAACAAACTTAGGGCATTGGTTAGACAGGCTCCATATAAGAGTAAGAAGTCCCCTTTCTCAAAAATTGTATGATCAGGAGCCTAATTTAACAATACATGTGTACATGATGTATGTCAACAGTTGTATCAGAGACGTCCAAAGTTCTGAAGATTTGTCACCTATTTGGAAAGTCTGAATAAGCAGATAGCCATGGAAGGCTTTGAGACAAATGCATACATAAGTTGAATGAGCTGTTTTAATATGATGGTCATTCTACTGTATCATCCTTTAAATCCAACCCTCCCTCCTATCCATCTGAAGTTTCAATAGCAATATTTTAAAAAAAAATTTGGAGGCCCAAATATCACCGCAAGGGATTACAATGAAAAGATATTGCTACAAAATTCCCAAATCCTAACATATACACACGCAAGCATGTCAATGAACAAAGAGTTAGAGTGAATCGTTAATTGAAGAAAATTACTGATCAAAAGAGTTAATCTTGTATGTAATAGTTCTTGGTATAGATATACATTGTTTATTATAATATCCAGACAGATAACTGTTGCAGAGCCTGGAATCACATGCACAATCAAGTTCCATCCTAAGAATGCACAGACAAAGAGATGACAGGAATCAATTGAGTTATGGTACATTTAGGGAGCATAACATAAATAAGGACGTAAAGTTCCCCCGATTCATTTTTTTTCAGAATTTCAAAAAAAAATCTTAAATCATAGGTACATTTCCCAACTATTTACTAAAACTATTTGGTTCGGAATTTCAGATATATAGAGCAAACAAAGCATCCTACTTGTAATGAAGCTGCTACACATGCCTTTCTTTCAATTTACTACAAATTTTTATTTTTATTTTTAAAGTAATTGTAACAACACACAGATCCCACATTTCATTGTAGCATTGGCCATAATCTAAAAACGCAAATACACTAAATTAACATTTTAAAAATGTCTTCTGGATAAGAAATAGATACTATAGGCCTCGTTTGGCAAGTAGTTATTTTAGCCTAAAAGTCAAAAAGTTACTAAAAAAATCAAAAAGCCAATAACCTATATCAAAAAGTTAAAGATTCTATTTTCTCTCTACTTTTTGCACATCTTTTCGTAAAAAGTCAAAAAGTCACCCCAAACATGCTAATTTTTTTTTACCTCATATTTTAACCAAAAAGTCAAAAAGTTACTAAAATAGCATGTTCCCAAACGAGGCCATAGTACCAGCCAGTACAGACTGCATTAGCAGCATTTCACAAATAGCACTTAATTAGAAATATCTAAGAGGTCCAATATGAATATATCCCTTTGGTCTCCTAAAATACAAAAGTTGTCAACGTTTAAAATATTCTTCTTTGCAGATAGCTCGATAAATAAAATAAATCTATCAATGAATATGTCCTTCAGACCTAAGGGACTGGAAGAAGGAAGTCTCTTTAGCATATTTGTTTCAATAACTAACTACCAGTGTAATAAAATCCAATCTGTTCCTGTTCAACATGCTGACACATAAAATTTCACCCATAAATCAGAGCAGATTAGCCTCTACCATTTCCTTCTGGATACAACAAGCCAGTTCTGTCCTCTTTCGGCAATATCAGACAATAAAACCATGTCAAGGCCATTACTTTACCGACAACATATGTAAAGGCTCTAATGTAAATATGAATAACTTTAAAGCCATCTATCAAGGTAAATAACAAAACTTCCAAAACAAGTAGAATTGTCTATCTATTGATGTAGCAAACAACTATGAACAACCACCTTCTTCCTTTTCTAGAATTTCTTAGTGCTTTCTGTCAACTAAATTCCAAAATAGCAAAAACCCTTTCGGTAATTCACCGGTGACATCCCCTGCCAGCAGCGACCACCCTCTGATAACTCACCAAACATGTTTTCTTGTTTTTGTTTTTATTTGTTTTGAAAATATGTGTGCACCAAACGTGTTTTATGTTTGTGCTTTTGCAAAACAAAAAACAAAAACATTTCTCCTACTTTCTGTAAACAGTAACAAACAATTGGCAGTGTTATCAAATGGCAACTAAATGATTTAGCTTAAAAACAACTAATTAAGGGAATACAATGTGATGAGAAAATAAATAGAAATCCATATGAGGATTTAAACTTTTATATACAAAATATTCTTATTTCTTTAACTTCAAAACCTTTCTCAATATCTACCATAATTGTGAAATTACTTGGGTTACTTTAGAAAGAAAGAAAAAATTATACCCTTGGCTATTCAATAGCTCAAATTTGACAAAAGATCTTTAATTTGAAGATTGTGCTTTATTAGTCATAACAACTACCTAGTTTTAAGCATGAGAAACTCAAAAGTTTGTAGATAGATACTTAGAAAAATTTCAAAATAAAATATAATAAATGCTTTAAAACTTTCCAATATATATTTCATTAACCATTATGTCATTACTGTTTCAAATCCAAAACTATTCACTAAGACATTCTTGCACCTGTACATTCCATTCCTATAAGAAAAATTAAATGCCCACCAAAGTGGTATTCATCAGCCATGACTAAGGCATCTGCTACAAGTATACTATTCCCTCCAATAGCTAGCCTGCTACAGGTGCTAGCTCTCAATCAGGATAACTGCCAATCATAAAAAGCACAGTTACATTTTCTCCAATTGTTGACTTTCTTTTTGATAAGTAAGATGCCCTTACTACAAACATCACCTCTGAGGCTCTGAAGTATCATACCCACATTTAAAATGTTTGTCGTTGACCAACTCGTTACCCCCTACCAGTCCGAGATATGTGTCCCCACCTCTTCCTCTACAGCTAATAATCTCTTTTAATGACCTCTAGATCCTCGATACCAGTACTATTTGGGTTGGCAATTAATGGAATGCACTAATGAAAGTAAAATTAAAATGATATAAGACGAATCAGAAATCTAGAATAGGCTACATATTAGCTTTAAGCACCCATGTCTCGATCCCAAAACAAAGGGAGGGAGAGAGAGAGAGAGAGCTGCCATAGCAGTCTATAATCGCATAAATGATGGCTCAAATGAAAAACGCAGCTCGAATACAAGCTGGAACGACCCTTTATTAGACTTTAAGGCTGCCCTAACAAAAGTAAAAGATCAACCTGCCTTTATGTAAATCTAATTGAAAGACTATTATTTTTATCCAGTAAAATAAAAGACAATAAACAACTGAGTCACATGACATGCTTAAAATCACATGGCCTTTTAAAATTAAAGTACGATGGGCAAATACCCCTAACAAGAACTTAAATGACTGATAATGAACTAATTACCAAATAAGCAGATAAAACACTACTTAAGAAAGAGTTGGTGCCGCTCACTAAATTTTGTGGTTCTTTGACTTGTTCAAAAAGGAAACGAGACGAGAACATTTGTCACTTATGTCCAAGAGACTATGTTTGGTCCTCCCCAAGATGCTTTTTGAAGTGTCTGGGGAAAGGGTAGGGCCAAGAAGGTAAACATCTTACCTTCGAATTTTCAAAGGAATGATTTGTTGCGATCATGAGATGCAAGGGAAAACTCTTGTTTATCATTTTTGCTTAGACTATTTGTTTGTTTATAGGTACTTCAAACTACAATGAGTTAAAAATGGGCCGCAACCGTTTCATAATGTCGTTACATAATCGTAGGGACAGTCACCACTACCCGTTACGGCTACTATGACGGTGTAATTGAATTTCATAGGCGTAACAGCCGCCACCAGTATGTAACCAGTATGTAACGCCCATAATAGACAGTTATGACACCATTATGGTGATTACGTAACGGTGGTGATGACTTTTACTACATTAGAAAGCCAATTTTTTCCCTCATTTTCTCAACTTCTAATTTTTATTTATTCACGTAACATTAAAGATTGAACATGAAAACGAATATGTCAGATAAACATAAAATCCAAACTTAATGTCACAAAATACTCACTTCAACTTGCAGATAAATGTTGTAGGCTTCTTTAACCGGTTCTCAACCCTATCACCACCCAAAAGTGGAGCCGACCTCCTCTCACCCATGCGTGACCCACTAATCGACCCATGTCCCTTCACCCCAGAGGATAACAATTGGGTCTTTTGCAGAACCGCATTCTGGGATTCCTTCAACTGCTGCCTATGCTTCTCTTCTTGCTTTTGTTTCTCTAACTCTCTCTTTTTTCTCAACCTCCTCTCTTCCTCCGTCTCAATCCTCCCAGAAGGCCCATTTGATTTCTTTGCTGCCATTGGGGGAACAGGAGGTTTAAGGTGTTTAGGGTGCACCCCTTGATTTGAATGACCGAGTTCACGCCACCCAGACCCTGTTACATCCTTGGAAGGCCCTTTTTCACCATCTGCTCTACTTTCCTTAGTTCGACCAACTGTTGGAGCAGACGAAGGAGGGGGCGGTGGCGATGGAGGTTGCGATGGGGGCGGTGGAGGAGGAATCAAAGAACTTGGCGGCGGGGAGGAAGGAGGGGGCGGTGGAGGTGGTGGTTGCAATGGATTGAATTGGGAGAATTGGGATGATGGGAAGTACATTGGAGCAGGTCCAGGTGGTAAATTCATTGAATTCTGAGACAAAGGAGGGGGAGGAGGCGGGTAGGAAGACTCCGGGGGAGGCGGTGGCAATGGATACGGATATTGTGGTTGCTGTTGCTGAGGAGGAAGTTGATTTCTTGAAGGAGGAGCATAATGTTGTTGTGATGAAGATGATGATGATGATCCATAACCACCATGTTGAAACCCAGAATTTGGATGAATCTGACTATAATTCTGAGAATTGTAAGACCCATCTCCACCACTATAACCCCAATTCTGAGAATACTGATTCCCTCTAGGTTGTGGACCAGGTGGTGGTGGTGGTGGAGGTAAAGGGTTCTGATTAGGCGGCGGACCAAAAGTCGACTGTGGAGGTGGAGGGAATGGCCTGTAAGACGCCATACCCTAAAATTGACTATAAAAATTAAGAATCAAACTCAAAATTTGGCTCAGAAGATCAAAGAAGAGATTGAAACTGTCAATGGGACCAAAATTCAATACCCAAAAACAAAATTCTATCTTTACCTTGAATTTTCAGCTAAAAAACCCTAGGGAGAGAGATAGAGATTCAATGGCTATTCGCCGTGCTCTATGAAGAGATAAATTAAAACCCTAGGAGAGAGAGTTGTGAGACTTGGATATGAGTTGTTCCTAAAAACCTAGCTCGATGAAATTGAAAGCACGGATCGCAAACTCTGAAACGCCGGAGACGAATAGATACTCCATCGGAGATGTATGTATTCAGTGTATCTATGTGTGTAGTCTATATATATATATATATAGAGAGAGAGAGAGAGAGAGAGAGAGAGAGACTAGCCGGAGAGTGAGAGCAGAGAGCAATTTGTAGTATTTTGCATATACGCTTCGTTACAGCGAGGGCAGAGAGAGAGAGAGAGAGGTGTCCAGATACCGGGCCTTACATGCGTCGCTGTTTTCGGACAATGCCCTTCCACCTCAACTCAATCGAAACCCAAACTTCATCCCATTCCTTCTAGTTTGTTTTTAAATTTTAAATTGTTTGTGGAATTTTTAGAATTTTTTTTTTTACTTTATTTACTTTTTGTGTTTTTTTACCCTAGGTGTAATATTGTATTTAAAAATATACATAATCTAGCTGATCTCTTTTTTTTTTTTTCTGTTTTACGGTGTCGATTTTATCTTGTTTCTCTTTTCCATCTCTTCTTCGACAATCATCACCATACTACCCGTTATCGCTCTTTTCATCTCGATCATTGGCCGATCACTAAGGAAGTTTTCATATTTAATCCAAAATTTGACTCATGATCGAAATTTGACATTGTTAAATACATTATTGTACTCTATGCTACAATCTTAATTCTATAAAAATTTATTTGGTAACGTAACGGTGGAGCTTATGACACAACTATTAGTTGCGATAATGAATAATACGTAAAAATGTTTGATGGTTTCTATTTATTTATTTATTTTGTAATAATGTCTCTCTGCATAGAAGTTTTTTCTAAGGGTGACCACCATCCCACTTAGGCCAAGTTTGGCAACACTAAAATAATCCATCTTTTTATCTTTTTATTTTTTTTCATCACATCACCTCTCTACTTTTCTGCACATCTTTTCGTAAAAAGACAAAAAATGCACTTATTTAGATCATCCCAAACAACCTCTTACTTGCCCAATCTGTCCCAATATTTTTTAAGATTTAAAATAATTATTTTGCCTTTCGAGACAAGTTTAGTTTAGATTTTGTACCCATTTAATATTTGGGTTAGACTTGAGATAAAGATATCTAACCCAGGAACATGTGCCATTTATAAAATATCAATTATAATTTTATATTATTTTTAGTTATAAAATAAAGTAGAAAAAATATAAAAGAAAGATAATATATATTTTAGGGTTTAAATTAAAATATTTGTTAAAAATCATATTTATTTTACCATTGAATTTTGTTAACGTTTCAAATTCAAAAAAAAAATAAATTTTTTAAAATAATTTAATATCCATTCAAGAACAAAAAAAAAAAAATCCTTCATATTTATTGGGTCAATTGGCAGGTTTGAGATTTTAATCTTTTTAGAGTTAGGCATAGGATGACTATATTAGGCCTGATATCACATAGCCAAGTTTGAAATAACACATATTCTCTTATTATATAGTGCAAGTCCGGACTGAGGCTTGTCCACCGTTATTTTTCTCTCTCCGTGGATGCTTTCTTCTCCGAGTGTGAAGGTTTGTTATCATCCTTGTGTGAAAGCTCTCTTGATCTATTTTTGTACTTTGATATGATTTATTAGACAACTTATTATCGGATGTATAATGTATTAAGTCATGTGCTTTTCTATTAAAAGATTATAATCTAAAAAATATATATGGTTTAAAAAATATGAAATTAATTTGATCTAAAATGGTATTTTAGTTATAATATTGAGTTTAATAATAATAATAATAGTCTACTATTTATTATAAAAATGTGAAGAATCAATCACATTTTCTAATTTTTTTAAAATCTCAATTTTACTCTATCAAATCTATTATATTTTTTAAAAGTCATGAAGAGTTCTATATAAACCAATTATCTCTTTATTTTTAGAGTTGAACAGTCAAAAATGATATATCTACTTCCAAGAGTCCTATATAAATATAAACAAACTGTCTTCATTCTTATAAAAAAAAAGGATCAAATCAATAATTTTAGTTGAATCTTAAAGTTGTATGCATTCGGTCGAATCTAGATAGAAGAAAACGCATGCGTTTTTAAAACATATGTTTGTGTTGCATCTCAAGAATTCACAGGTGTAGATGCGCTAGAACGTCCCGGGGGGGATCCCGTTTTGTTCATTTGGGTTTACTACAGTTCGGACTCGAATGTCACGGTTCTTAATCTGATCTCGCAAAGTGCAATGCAAGACTGATAAATCACCAAAGAGTCCAAATCCGGCAAATCGTTTTGGAAAACTGATTTTAAGAAAGAAGTGCCAAACATAGACTGTTTTGCCAGATACAGAGTCGCCACCTAAATATTTTATTTTGAGGGAATTTAGGAACCCTGACTCGTTGCCTAAGGCCACGTGTCCGTCATCACCAAAGTTGCCTTGGCTCGGGAACTTGGGTACGAGAGGGGAAGGTCATGCAATGAGCACCCCCGCTCGCCTGATCGAAGATCAGCCTGTACGAAGCATGATATTTTGTTTTGAAAACATATGCGTTCTTACTCCGGTTATTAGCCTAAAATTACTATGTGATGCGCACAACACACAAGTATAGACCGGATCGCCTAAATCGGAACAAAACATTTCATGTTTGTTTATTTGAAAATAGTTTGATGGTGCTACTTGCAAGTAGGGTAAGATGTGGATTTGCCACCCTCGGGTGGGCTTAGAAAACATGATTTTTGCCACCCCGCAGAATGGGCTTAAAACTCGTATTCAATGAATTATTCCAATTCAGGTAGTCCAACTTTCATCCACAGGCATTCAGGCAGTTATATCACATAAGCAAATAGCCTCATGGCAAGCATGCTATCATGGCAACACTTACACACATGCGGTATGCTAAAGCGTAAACGCTTACCTAGTACTCTGAGCCAAAACAATAGCTAGTTAGTAATCAAATGCATGATCCTAGTTCATGTTAAGATGACTAATGCAAAAATACAACTAGAATAGGTTTAGCCAATCTAAGAATGGCATATGAAATGCGACAACTCGATACATGTATTCAAGTTGGAATTGAAATACTATGCAATTAGTATGATGCGCCGAGCCCGGTGCATGCGATACAGATGAATGATGCGAACATGCGAACATAAGGATGCTAATTGAAACATGACCTAAAACTAACCATTGAAAGCAGGTAAGTAAAAGGGAGAAAGATGTGGGGTTGGAAGACATTCACACACTCACGCACACTTATTACAAAATTCGCCCTTTTGACGAAGTGTCCGAATAAATAATACAAACCGAATAATTAATCAACTACCCTAGCTAATTAAATATTACAAAACCCTTAACTAATTAAAACAAATTAACTAAGATATGAAACTAAAGAGGTCGTCGCAGCTCTGCCTCGGAATGATTGAATGATGCATACTCAATCGTCTCGTTCGGAAACCCGTTGCCATGCCACATGTTGTCTCTGTTTGCACTGTTTTACACCTCTGAAAACTGCACAAGTCCCAAAGATGCTTCTGAACCACTCCCTGAGCACTGTGGGATGTCACCGGCCAAAATATAGGAATATCGGCCATGTGGAATTGGTCATCGACCATTTGTGAGGATCTCGGCCAACAATGTTTAGTTGATCGGCACTGTAGATGGCCGGCCGGCCATATCTTCCTGCAAAATGTTATTTTGCTACAGCAGAGGACAAACAGAACATGCAATGCATTTTCAAGGCAATGTGTGCACAACCACCCTTTCTATTATGTCATGAACTCAAAGGAGTATGGTTCTCGACCCTCAGGCCATCAATCGCGCATTTCAATGCATGATGGCCAAAGGAGCCAAGTGTGCAAATCAATGTGGAATGAATGCAACAAAAACATATGAATGCCTAGAACTCTATCATGCTTGATCAAGAGCATCGACGACTGAGGATTGAGGCACGTTTCGGCACTTCAAGTACAAACATTCTTCGTTCCTCGTGTTTGGGTTGACACCCCAAACCAAACACAATGCAATGCATGCAACCAAGTACAATGCAACATGGAAATGCAAGGCAATGTAACATGAGCATGACAAATGCAATGCAATGCAACCTAACATGTAAACAACATGATATACAATAAGTATGCAATACGACTATGCAACCTAGATATGTAAACACACAATGTGATAGGCATGCAACAATGATACCAACAATAAGTATGCAACAACATGCAATGCGATAAGCATATAACAATACACAAACCGCATGATCCATGGACTTATACTGAAAATGGATAGGCCTCAGCCATACCAAAACAGTGGCTAAAGTGCTAAGAAATGATGGAATGAGATGCACAATAAGCATGCGAATGTAATGGCCTATAACCTAGGCGTAAGGATATAACTCTCAAGCATGAGCAAGAAGTGACAAACACAATAATGCGGCAATGAGATGAGCTCTGAAATGATATTAGGAATGATGCCAAATCAACCAAACAACGCAAGTATAGCATGCAATAAAGCTCAAGGGTTAAGGCTAGCAAAGTGGTTTACACCATGGCCATAACAAGTGAGCCCCAACGGACCAAGGTGACTTCAAACAGTCCCAAGGCAGACCAAGACAAGGCTAGAACATGCATGGAATGAGGCCAAAACATGTTAGAAAGGTGAGCACAAAACATGAAGCATGTAAGGCTACAAAGGGGTGTTACACTACACCTATTACAACCAAGCATGGCATGACTTAAATAATGAAAAATAGAGTTACATTATGTTAAAATAAGCCCGAAAATCCACTGAGATGGCATCTTAAAGACCTAAATATGATGGCATGCACAATGATCCAATCATGAGACATAAAACATCAACTCTTCAAGGCTTTGAAAGGGCGACAAATGCAAGTGTATGGCTACACTACATGGACTAAAATCACATATGGGATGATGCCAAATCATGAAAAAGGTCTAAGTAGTGCATGCTAATGGCTTGGACACTCGAAGCTAACAAGCTAAGATGTATGGTAGCTATACAAAGCAATGTATGTATGATCAAAACAACATGAAACAGAGCTTTAGCATGCTGAAATATGACTAAAAGTTCCTTTGAGTTGAGCCAAAGTATGCAAGCATGATGGTCTAAATGCAAGGTGCATATTAAGGCAAATAAGAGGATTGCTAAACAAGTGCATGCTGCATGTAAGAGGCTATCAAACTAACTTAAAACAGAGGTATAGCATGACCAAATAACACCAAATACTTGCTGAAATGAAGCAAAAACATATTAAGCAAACATGCTACCATTACAAGCCATTAACACAAGCAAATGAGACACAAGGAGAAATGGGTATCCCTTTCCTATACAAG